CTCGGGTGGGACGCCAACACTGCGCACGCAGCCAGCTCACCTGGTGCCATCACCAGCACGGAGTGGATGTGCAGACCACATTCTCCTCAGCACTCGCCCCTTCCCAGGCTCTGCCCTGTCCCTCCCTAAGGGCTGGGCCAATCACATGCCTGCGCCTGCACACAGAGTCACCAGGGCAGACAGCCCTCAGCTCAGTCCAGGGCTTTCACTAGGCACCTGCCTGCTCTAGCCAGGAGAATAAGGAAAATGGCAAAGCTGAGGGCTCAGAAATCGACCTTCCATGTCTGTTCACATTCTTAGGAGCTTGTGAATTTGAAGCAAGGCTACTAAGCCTAAGAAAAGGATGGATGAGAGACGTGCAGGAATGTGGTGCCCGGAGGCTGAGCGGTGACGCGCTTTTGGAGAGAGAGAAGCCCCCTCAGTGAGGCTGAATGGACAGGCAACATGCTAGAACCCAACCCCAGCTTCCAGTCCTGCCTCTGCCACACCGAGCTGCGCCAGGCCAGCTACGCTCCTCCCTAAGCCTCAGCTTCCTCATACTAGGCAGCAGGAACAACAATGGCTAGGACCGGATAGGTCACAGGACGCAACAGGGGGGAAAATACCTGTCAACCATTAATGTATGAAAAGAAACAGACCACAGACGTGGGGATAAACAGCAGGCAAGTAACTCGCAGGTTACCTCTGGCTCCAGCCTCTTCATGGAGCCCTCGCTCATGGAGGACTTGCCATTATCTCTCGGCCAATGAGCACAGAAGCCCCACGAAGGCACAGGGCCTTGAACAGCCCAGACACTCCGGAGGTATTTCATAAATATCTGCATGAGTAACTGCTGTGTACGCAGTGTCAGCCCCGCGAGGTCCCATTCTCCATCCCGAGGCCAGGAAACGTCCCTTCTTACTGAGAGACTGATGAACAGGACTCACACCCATGGGCAGCAGCAAGCATGGCAGAGGACACGGAGAGGTACAGCCCAACACAGAGAGATCAAGTACAGTCTGCGTGCTGCACAGTGGACTTCAGAGCCCTGCCCCGCCTGGATCCGAGGCGCGCTGACAAAGCAGCCCTGCCTCCACCTCCCTTCACAGCCCAGCCTCAGGCACCACTAGAAGACCCCAGGCGCCAGCAGTCCAGTTGTTCTCCGTCTGAGCACCCTACAGTGGCATTCATGAGGCGCTAACCCGACACCGTACTTCCAGATGCAGCACAGGGTGCTTGAGAGTACCAGGCATTCCAGCCTAAGACAAAAGCAACCATGAAGGAGAGACCTGATCAAGACAGGCCATGTTCAGGCAGTGAGAAGGTGGCCCCAGGAGACAGAGGAGTGGGCCTTCCGGAGACACAGCCCTGGAGGCCACCTTGCCCTGGGCTTGCAGCTCCAGAGGTGAGGAAGCATCCTGCCCTCAGAGGAGACAAGCCCTATCTGGGGTGCTGCTACAGATGTGGCTCGCTCAGCAGCTTTTCAGGACGGGGGTGGGGTTGAATACACAGGAGAAGGCGGCTCCCTCAGCTGCCTCCCATCAGCGCCACACAGCACCCTAAGGCCTGAGCTGTGGAAGCAATGGGGGTATCTGGATGGCCAGTTCCGCACACATCGCAGGAGCTCTCACATACCAGCCACCCCAAGTCCCCACGTGGAGCAATGGCGGCCAGGTGTCCCAGGAAGATCTCACAGTGCATAGGGCGGGCCCTCACCCTTCGGATCACACAGAAACAGTCTGGAGCCTCTGGCAGTAGGAATGAAATTAAGCAAGCAGACAGACAACCCCTCCCCACAAATAAAAACCCAAAAGCCAAACCTAGAGAATTATGATCTTCAGGGGAAAAAAAGAAGTTATGTCAAAGGAAGCGCACTCATACAATTACTTAGCTTGGGGGTAGACACTATTTACACAGTCATAATAATGTAATCGAAATAATTAATGGGCCCCAAATTGCATGGAGGGCGTAGGGGAAAGAGAAAAGTGCTGGCCCTCACAGCCTTCGAAACAGGAAACCCATAGGAAACACCTACAGTGACTGAATTACGTGTCTAAGAATACTCAGAAACATAAAGGCACAAATGAAATCGCTTTGGGGGAAAACGAACTGGACAATCTAATTTTTTAGCACAAAGAATCCTTCCTTTTTTGAGGTTCTGTTTGATCCTTTAAACAGCGGGCTTGATGGCCCATGCCTGTCATCCCAGCTCTCTGGAGGCTCAGGCAGCAGGACTTGGCTACAAAATGAGCTCACGATCAGCCTGAGCTGCAGAGCAAGACCCTGTTCCAAAAAGACAAGAAAAAAAGTCACGTGCAATTATTATTTGATTAAATTATACTGAAAAGAAACAAACGGCGTCGCTCCGAGTGCCAGCCTGTCCTCCAGTGGCTCCGTGGCCGTGTGCACGTCCTCTTTCCTCTCTGCTTGGGTCTTTCTCTCCGCACTTTCTCTAGGTCTGATGAAGCTGCTCGAGAGAGACTACCGAGGGACCCTGGGCTAATCAAGAGGCTTTTACCCTTGGATTAAAAGCCATCTGGAAAAGGAAACTGAGCCAGACAAAATCCTGAGCACCAGTGAAAGGTCAGCAACCCCCAAGGGGACCGCTCAACTTCACACAGAGATATGTAAGCCCGAGCCCCCAGTGAACAGACCCCTGAAATCTGCCGTTTCAGGTCACTGTGCCTTAGAGGCCGCTGCTGTTGGGACGTTAACCCCATCGCGCCCATATTTCTCATAGAGGCCTCACTAACTGGCGGCTCTGCACTTCAGCAGCACTGCAGGGCTTGTGAATGTGCATCAGAGCCTGAGGACAAGCGACCACCAAAGCTCCCTGACATTGGATTCATCTGTGACTTCGGCCGTGGCCAACTCCCCTTCAAGGGTGTGTTACAAGAAAGGCTTCCCCAAGCCTCATGGGGACGCAGGGATCGGGGCTCTGGCCTGAAGAAGCTGGCAGAACATGCCGGCCAGTTCCTGCTCTGCACAACACTGACGCAGCCCAGACCTGAGGGGCTGGCTGCTGAGAACCCCCAGACTGAATCATGCAGCTGTTCCCTTCCGGAAGCTGCCACACCAGTGTTTTCTAAGGAGACACCAAGTTCTGTTCTTGTCCAGGGAAGGAGTGAAGGAGAGAGACAGGGACAAGGCTGCAGTTACCCAAGAAAGACTCGGAGTGCAGCTTGAAGCGCCAGAACGAGAGAAGAGTGCAAGCAAAGGCTATTCTCACTGGCACGCAGCAGAAAGCAAGTGAACCTCAAGGTATTTTAAACAACATCCAGGGGCATCAGCAGCCTCTCAAGGAATTGTGGGGCTGGCAAGATAGCTCAGCAGACCAAGTGCCTGCTTTGGCAAGTGCAGGGATCAGGGTTCGATTCCTGGTCCCCCATGCCTTGTTGGCCCTGCCCCTAGGGCATGCTGAGCTGGCAACGGAGTCTGGGCGTGGTGGCACACACCTATTATCCCACCACTGGGGAGGCTGAGAATAGGAGGATGACTATGAGTCCAAGCTGCATACTGAGACCTGGCACAAAATACAAAAAAAAAGATAGACCAAAATATTCTGGCTCTGCCAACTGAGCTACAATGTTACTGATGCAATAGTATCAGAGCCTGAAGTAGTTTCATGGGCAGAATGGCGGCTATGTGTGGATTTCTTTGACCAAATGTAATACCTAATACACCTGCTTGGTAAATGAAGTGAAAATCAGCAAGAACACGGGGCGCAGTTATTGCCACTGCATTAAAAAGAAAACATTATGCTGCTTTATAATTTAGAAGCCGTGGGAAGAGTCAAGCTTGAGGAGGAGATGGACCTCAAATGCGTGTCAAGAGGACACAGCGGCTGCAGCCCCTCCCAGAGCACTGAGGAGGGGCCAGGCTGAGGCCAGCTGCTCTGCAAACAGGAGCTAAGGACTTAGTTAAGAGCTCTGACTTCAGAGCCAGCTGCCTGGGCTCAGAAATCAATTCTGCCACAAACTGTGTGGCCCCGAGCATGCTATTTACCTCTTGTGCCTGGTAAATTGCTGTAAAATGGGGCAATAGCAGTGCCTCTCAGGGGCTGGGGAGATGGCTCAGTAGAATAAGCGCTTCCCTGGCAAGAGTAAGGGCCCGAGTTCAATCCCCGGTTCTGCCAAATCCTAGGGCCTGTGAGACTCATTAAGTTAGCCCAGTACCGAGGACACCGCGCACTCAGTGCTGCCAGATCCACAACCGATGTCCGTGTCCTTAGAGGGCTGGCACAAGGCAAGCCCAGAGTCCAATCCTGCTCTTGGATGCGCTGAACAAGACTGCATGGAGTCAAGTCAACCCAGAGGGGTCGGAAGCTGTCACAGCTTCTGAAATACCAACAGCAAGCCACCGAGAGACGAGTGGCCAGCAACCCTCCCAGAGTCTCCCAGAGGGCTCAGAGCCGCAAGGCACAACCGGGTGGGGCAGCACATAGCGCTCTGGGAAGGTCCAATTCTGGGAGCTGCTGGCCCGACTGACTGCTGCAGGCAGGCCTAAATCTACTTGCCAAAGAAGGGACTGGAAAACCCGGGATCTTCAGCGTGACCTCTTCTGATACCTGACCCAACAGAATGTACTATGATTTGAAAACATGTCTGAGAAAAAGCTGCGCAGTTTCTGAACAGACACACATACTTCCTTCAACAGGCACACTAGAATAACGACCCCTTTGGGCAGCGCACGAAAGACACAACAGCTCAGAGAAGCAAACCCAGCATGTACTTATGAATGCCATTAATATATAAAGACTGATCTAAGAAATAAAGCAGTAATTTTGGTAATAATGTAATTGTCAAACACACTGATTTTGCAGCAAGGGTCTCATCGTGCAGTGTAAGCTGGCCCTGAACTCACAGCGACCCTTCTGCCCAGCCTCCCAAGTGCTTGCACGACAGGTGTGCACTACCACACCCAGCACATACCCAGTTTTTAATAGGAGGAAGTTACAGAACATTTCTAACGTATGGGGTTAATTCGCCAGCACCTCCAGCTTCCTAAGCAAGTGCGCCTACCTTTCTGCCCATGACGACTGCTGAATTTGTCCCCGATCTCTGGGCGCCTTGTCTGTCGCAGCAGCATCTTGATGAGAAACGCGTCCTCGGCATTGGAGGAGATCATCACTTTCTCAATGTACGAGTCGGTGGCCCCTTTGTAACTGGTGGGAGGAGAAGGTCACTAAAATCGGGCGTTGGTCACACACACATCTATTTAATCCTACCACAAAATGTTTTGGCATTTCCTTTCTGGGCTCTGGATAAAGACGTGCATTCTACATGCTAAATTTACAGTTACAGGCACAGCACCGTGTTGTCCTCACAGCAATCCTGGACTGGGAAGCCCACGTCACAGGTGAGGCATGGTGACCACTCATGGACATGACCCAGCTTTGAGCTGGCCATCCCTGGACAGCACCCCATCCCCTGGGGGAGTCCCTGAGAGCCAGCGTCCTGCAGTCTTCTGAGGGCATGGTTCACAGGTCTGTGCATGGATGGAGTGGGCGGGCCTGCAGGTGCCTGCACTCACGGTCAGCCTTTCCGGAAGGAAGGGCATAGGGGTGCAGTGCCAGGGTGGGGCTGGTGGAGGCAAGGGCTGACTGTGTGAGCCTTGTGCTGCCTGCCCACAGCCCATCCTGTCAGGGTGTTGCTCCATTTATTTCAGGAAGAGGAAATCTCCCCAGGTCCAGCGAGAGCGATAGCAGCAGCAGGAGGCGGCGGCAGGTCTGTGCAGCCAGCAACCACTGCAAGGGACCCGGGAGGGAAGGCGGACTGGGGCTTGGTGGAGTGATCACGGTGGCCCTGAACACAGCCTGAGCCTGCTGTGCAGCAGACACGGGTAGATGTCCCTGGAGTCATTAGTGATGAGCACATCCAGACCAGGCACACAGTTCAATGGCCAGGACGAGGCCAGCCCAGGCCAGGGAGGAGGCGGAGCACTAGATGGGGACCAAGGAGCCCAGCGAGCCTGATGATGTGGCGCCTTGGGGCTCACTTCTGAGTGTCTGCTGTCCCTAGCCAGGATGCAGGCCGCGAAGGTGGGCTGCTGTGGCCTTGCTCTACACCATCCCGCCATGTCCCACCCTTCCCACAGCTCCGGAGTGACAGGAACACAGAGGCTGTGTGGTGGTACTCTCTCTGGAGGAGGCAGGGATGGCACAGAGGGAAGGGAGCGAGCAGAAGGCAAAGAAGGAGAAATGGAGGAGACTCATCCAGGAGCCGCGTGGAAGGGATGGGACTAGGGCAGCAGCCAGAAAGCAGAAGAGTTACCCCTTTCCTCTGACACCAAGGAGGGTCTGGGCACGCTTCAAGCTGGGGGTGGGGGCGGGTACCCAGAGGAAGCAGGCAGGAAGTGGGGGAGGACAGAAAACAAAGTAGCAGAACTCCCTCTCCAAAGAGGCCAGAGACAGGAAGGACCAGGAGGAGAGCAGGAGGAGCCAATGCTGACGCCGACAGCTTATGCTCTGGGGCTCCGGGCCAGGTCTAGTCCTTCCCAGGGTGGTGTGTATCCTCCTCACAAACAAGTCCACGGCTCCTTGGCTCTGTCACATTTAGCACAGTGCTGGAGAGGGCATGGACCAGGACTGCAGAAGTTCAAATCCTGCCTCTGCCACTTGTAGGTGTGTGACCTTGGGAAGTGACCTAACATCTCCTCCTGGCTACCTCATGTTAATGAGCTCTAAGATCACCCAACTTGGGGGATAGTAGTGGGTATAAGAAATGCTCAAGGAAGTGACTCAGATCTCCGTGGTTGCTGCATCTGGGACTCTGTACAAGGCCTCAGCTTCCACCAGCAGCATTCCCTGCGCGGGTCCTGCCACAGAGGGCCTCGCCCTTGGGTGTTGAGCAGGTTTCTAAACTGCCAGCCGGCTTTGCCCTCATGGCCCTGCTAACCTCGCCCACCCACCTGCTCCCCGATGTTTCCATCACAGTGGTAACCCCCACAGGCACTTCCCATTCACTGTACTTTAGCACTGAGAGGATGTATGTTTAGATACAAACATGGCAGCTCTTTCGTTGCATAAAGGATTAAAAAGGGCCACAGGAGGGAACACAATACCACCGCGGGCAACTGGAGACGCCACACGTTTTTCAGCGTCTGAGACACAGTTCTGATCATATTGCTCTACAGAATGGATTCTCCATCCATACCGCAGCAGCAGCACTGCCGGGCAGCGCGACCCTCCAAATCTGGCGCCTCGAGGCCTGTGCCCTTCGCCTCGCCGTCCTTTCACCCAGGGCCCCACCCGTGGGTCCACACCTCATGAAGCCGGTAAGCTCTGGCATTCCCAGTCTGGACTGAGGTTCTGCACCGGGCTGCACTCGCAGCGGCTATTTCTTGTGCCTCGGCCTGCAGGCCTCCTGCGTATCTCCCACCCTCTTGCACGTCCTCCAGGCACACCTATACCTACGTTATGGGGACATCTTTGTACTGCGGCTGCTGGCCCACACTGCTCCCTTCCAGTGGGATCTGCGTCACGGTGGGCATGGACTTGTTCACAAGCACCTGTTTGTTTTCCACTTTCTCGCCTAAAGAAAAGATGTGTGTTAGATGTACGCTATGTGTATGATGAAGAGACTGCTGGGGACAGGCTGTGCGCTAAGACCTGGTCCAAGAGACTCTAGACACGGGAGATGGACATGGGGCCCACAGGGTGGGAACCAGAGTCCACAGGTTCATATGTGACTTCACAAGCCACTTAAGAAAAATTATACATCAGAGCATGGTGTGCTCTGACTAAGAAACCAAGAAACTGGTTTAGGAGACATTAACAGATGTGCCACATTAACAAGAGACGTGCTGCCTCGCTCCAAAACTTTTGCACCGTCTGAGGGTGTCAGAGCAGGTGCTGATCACATTTTATTCAAGCTGCTCCTCTGGAAACAAGTCACAGGCACTTAACTGGGCCCATGAGGAGATCAAAGCACTCACTGGCTTGGCTGTTTTCCCCATGTTTGCCCACGACTGGCTACAGCACACTGGGTGCCGAGGTACCAGGCAAAGGGATGACTTAGCGTCCACCCAGGGTGCTTGGCTGGGTTCTCCTCACCCTTCTCACCCTTTCGCCACACTGCTGTCCACTGACCTGCTGACTTTGTCACAGTTCTGCCCTCTGCTCGCACCCTTCTCCTTCCCCTGGACTCCTTCTGCCCACTGCACTGGCCTTCCCTCAAGGGCTTCTGCTTCAAGCTCGGACATCTGGACACACCAGTCCTCCTGTGCAGAGCATCATGGCCCTGACCCATAGCCATAACTGATTCTCTGATCCCCAGCACACTCTGCTGGGTGCCTGCGCTGACCCTTCTAACTACATAAGTCCTCTTGCCATGAAATGGCCTCCTAGCTACCCATGGGCCCTGGACTGGCTGTAACTGGCCATGTGTCCCATGACCCTGGTCGAAGTCAGCCTCCTACACCAGGCAGTAGGACCCACGGGGGGAGGGGGAGGGGCAACGGAATCACACTCGTTAGGAAGAAGATTCTAAAGCTGTCTGCAAGGAAAACGTTTGTAAGTACAGAAACATCAGTGGAGACACAGGGACAAGACTACATTCACTTCTCTTCTAGTTTTTCTGTGATTTAAAATTATCACCAGAAAGCTTAGAGTACACTATTGCTGTGTAAAGATATAATATGCAGAAAACCAGACTGAAAGAAAATTTGCCAAAAATGACTACACTGGTTGAGTCTAAATAGTACATTAAGGGCTTCTTTTCTGCTGTTCACCAACTATGCAGAAACGTTGTCCAATAGCACTTGCAATTTCAAAAAGTATGCACTGAGATTCATTTTTAAAAGGTTTTACCTGGAGAACAAATACCATCTGCATCTAAAATCTCATGTCTCCAGATGGGCTTCCTGGTGGCGGCGTCCAACATGGGCCCCATCACTTTGTCAAAAGTCTGGTTAGTGTACCGCTTCAGTGTACACTTAGCATTTTTGTATACAAGGCACCGCCCAAAGCCTGCAATAAAACCAAAATGGTCAAACTACTAGAAATGCAAAACTACCAGAAAACACGGATTTGTGCTGTGCCACAATCCCCCTACCCGTGCTTGCAAAAAACAGAAACTACTCTACTTTCAGATCATCTAGATTGGCACTAAACCACCTGTTACCCCTAAAAATGGTGCAGGACTCCTCCCTCCCTCCCTCCCGTGACCAGGTGGGAGGCTCCACTGCTCCAGCCCAGCATCCGCCTGTGTATGCTGGAGGAAGGAAGAGACCTAAGGGTGGCACTGGGTGCTTTCTGAGCACAGAGCCACAGGGTATCAGAACTGGGGAGCACCTCAAGGCCAGCTGCTGACCCCTCTTTTACAGGCAGTAGGAGCGAAGTCCAGAAAAAGTAGGCAGTCAGTTGCCTGCAAGCGGGCCGCGCAGAGAGCACCCGTGGTGGGCGTCCCTCCGGTGCGCAGCTTCTGTCCGCTTCCCTGGAAAGCTCTTTCTGTAACGGTGACATTCGTGAGTGACCCGCAAAAAGGAGGCAAGCAAGGAAACACGCAAACAGACGACCGTCTCTCCTAGAAGAGCGAGACCAAAGAGAAAGCAGGGCCAGATGACTTCACTGCGAGGGAAAGTGTATTTGCCCTCAAGATTACTTTCAGCACAGTTTTAGATTGGATTCATCTAGCAGATGAGGGAAAACCCCAAGAACAACATTAACACATTCCAGATGGGGCCATACTTCGCGCGTCCAGCTGCCAGGCAACTCTGAACCACTGCTGGTGCGGGCACGCCAGTGCCGTCAGTGGACCGGGAATGGGCACAGGTTTTCTGCCAGGGGTTCAAGCTGGGGACAGAGGGAAATCTGTGAAGGGGGAAGGCTCAACCACCGAATTTCCCAACCGTTCAGGAGTAGTGACCCAAAGGGCTGTCACTCCTTCAGTGGGAACTGCCCTTAAAGGCTCTGCGTCTCCACTGGCCCGGCAGCTCGTGTGTCCTGCAGAGCCCCTCCCACCCCTTCCAGATAGACTGAGCGTGCGGAAGCTCATTTAAAAAGGAACCCGTCCCAGGCGAAAGGGCCGTGCATGTGACTGTGAAGCCCTTCTCCCAGGAGCCTCCATGCGCAGTGGGGCACTTTCAGGAAATCAGAAACACGAGAAATGAAAATCAATGCAGCACAAATGGCTTTCTAAATAAATCCTGTGTTCTCATGCAAGTTTTCAAATTTAAAAGTGACTGCGGGAAGCAGTGGATTCCTACGACTGGCTGAGGTGCAGATGTCTGCAGGCCTCTGAGCCTGTCCGGGTCGTCAGCACAGCCGCCTGTGCCACAGCAGAGTGCTAGGGAGCCGCGGGCTTGGGGGCACTGCAGGACCTGCAAGTGCCACACAGCAGCCACTGACTGCAGCACGCGGGGCGCCGTGTGCACTGCAGCTGCACAAGGGGGGAAGTGCGCTCTGCTAAGGGCAAGCGCACAGGGATTCTCAGGTGGAAGCTCAACAACAAGGGGACAGCAGACGCAGATCGCCCGGTACGTCACGGGGTTTCTGACAGCCATCACCGATCTTCAGATTTCCACATAAATGTTACCAGTTAATCAGAAAGGAAAACATCTAGTTTTAAAGTATGGCTGTTGTCATTTGGAGGAAAAAAAGAGGCATAAATTAAGTGCAGCCAACATTAACACCAGTGACACATGGCTAGGAGTGTGATTACGGGTGCCTAGCAACTAGCGGAGGGGAGGGAAGGCAGAGCGGGCGTGCGCCTGGGGATGGAGGGGCAGAGCGCATCAGACGTCTGCCCAGAGCAGTGGACAGCGACATGCAGGGCACAGGCACCTGCAGAAGCAAACTGTCAGGAAGCAGAGGCGGGGAGCGCAGAACCCCAAGCTAGGGTTTGTCTATGAATGCTAACTTCTGTTATTTCATTAAAGAAAAGTACGCTGGGTTACGGCAGCAGGGCATAAGCAAGTACTCGGCCTTTCCATCTGATTACTGCCACTGCTTCCTCCAGCACGCTTGCTGTTGGGAAGTTACTGGGTATGTACAAAAACATTTCAGAGTGTTTTCCTACTGAACTGTAATTCCTACGGAAAATAAACAGATTGTTAGGCTTTTTTCCCTTTGAAAAGAACAAAAGATCCTCCAGCAGCACAATCAACAGATCATCTCAACATAACAATCAAAACCGCCAAGGACCCAAAGCCACCACTAAAAGGGAGCTGCCCCCCCGTGGTGCAGAACTGAAACCACCGGAAACTTCAGGGTGTGACAGTGATTCTGACCCGCGTCCTTCATGCGCTGCTACCTGGTTCTACAAAAAGCACTTCTGGCATCAGTCAGAGCCTTGGAAATCTCTTACCTCTGTCCAAGGAAGCCTTGTTTAAAACGAGAGCATCCTCAATATCGTAGCCACTGTAGCTCATCACAGCAACTGTCGCATTCTGCCCCGCCGGCAGCTTCTCGAAGTCTATCAGCTCAATGGTTTTTGTTTTAACCATGGGTTTTTGTGGATATGCTAGTAGATACATGAGAGTATCGATTCTGTTTCGCTGGTTGTATCCAATGGTACCTGCATTGACATTGGAGAAAATAAAACCCAACATTCCATTATCTGAAATAATTAGGTAGTATTTAATATAATAAGCACATTAACTCCACTAATTTGAATAAGAAAAAATTTCAGTCAAGAATTGCAAAAGACTTTCATGATGATCAATAACTTTTTACAGTCTTTTTTTAAAATGTATTTTAGTACTGGGTCTACAGGGTCTCACTATACAGCTCAGACCCGTAGTGATCCTCCTATTTTCAGCCTCCCAATTGCTGGGATTATAGGCATGTACCACCACACCCAGTGTCAGCATGCCCCAGGGGCAGAGTCAGCCCAGCAAACAGGGATTGAGCCCTGGTCCCCGGGCCTGCCTAAGCAGGCACTGTAGTCAGCTGAGCTTTCTGGCCAGCCCTACAGTCATTTTCTAATATAATTTGTCAAATTATACTTGAGTTCTACACATCTAAATAACTTCAACATTTGGACTTAGACTCGCTCCTGCTTGAGGGGTTCTGGAGCTCCTGGGTAGCCTCCATGCTCGGCTGCTACACTCCAGGGTCACTCCTGGCCGCCAGGGAAAGGGGACCGGCTCTTTAGTCTCACACTCAGCAGCTTATACACCGACACAGTTCACAAAGTGCCAACAACTGCCGAAGTTACACATGAAAAGGCAAGAGAGGAGGTGGGAACAGAGTGAGGCAGCGGCAATCAGGTGAAGGCAGAGAGCTTTACTCATTAAACATTCACCCAGTACCAAAAACAAGATCCTCAGGGAGCGCTCAGGCCCCTTCCTGTAGGCAGTGATGGCAAACCTTGGAGAGCTTTCAACAACGCAGACAGCTGGCTGCCACCCTAGTGCCACAGATCCTCACCCCAGCTCTGCACAATCTGGGCAGAGGCAAATTGGGATGGTTCTCCTCCCTGCCTGACTGGTCCTGGGAAGGCTCGGTAGCTGCCACTGGGAATGAGGTCACAGCACTAACCCTTTCCATCCCCACTGAAACATGCAGGGAGTTGTGGCTTGCCAAACAAAAGTTCCCGAGTCTCAGGCTTGTTTCACACAGCTGATCCTGCAGAAACCTGAGAACTGGAAGCCCAGGCTGGCCCTGTTGCCCAGGCTGTGTGGGCCACCATGCCCCTTTACTGACGCTGCCTTGAATGGCTGAGAAGGAAGGGGTGGGCATGAGGAAAAGCAGAGCA